GTACCCCAGTGAGAGTCAGTGTGTGTGTCTCCCTGTACCCCAGTGAGGGTCAGTGTGTGTATGGGATCCCATACCCCAGTGAGAGTTTGTGCGTGTGTGTGACCCCATACCCCAACGAGAGTCAGTGTGTGAACACAGAACATAGAACAGCATAGCATAGGTACAAGCCTTTCGCCCAGCAGTTTTGTCCCAACTATGATGACATTCTAAATTAATCCCACTTGCCTGCACATAGTCCATATTTCTGTATTCTCTGGCTGATCAAGAGCCTATCCAAATGCCTCCTAAACTTTGCAATTGTATCTGCTTCTACCACCTGCAGCCACTATCAGCCTCAGTGTACAAACCCTGCCTTTCACATCTCCATTAAACTTTCCCCCTTTCTCCTTAAACCTATGCCCCCAGTATTTGACATTTCCACTCTGGGAAAGAGACTCCAATTATCCACCCTATCCATGTGTCTCGTAAACCCAAATTCTGCCCAACCTCTCCTTATAGTTAATACACTCCAATCCAGGCAACATCCTGGTAAATATGTTTTGTACCCTCTCCAAAGTCTCCACATTTTTCTTATTGTGTGGTGACCAGAGCTGTGCACAGTACTTTAAGTGTGGCCTGAGTCCTGAAGAAGGGTTATACCCAAAACATTGACTGTTCCTTTCCTCTAGATGCTGCCTGGCTCGCTGTATTCTTCCAACTTCCTGTTTGTCTACCATGGCCTAAAGTTTTATACAACTGCAACATGACTTTCCAATTTTCACACAATATCCTGACTGATGAAGGCAAGCATGCCATACGCCTTCTTTACCACCTTATCCACTTGTGTTGTCACTTGGAAGGAGCAATAGTCTTGCACCCCAAGATCCCTCTGTATATCAATGCTCTTAAGGATCCTGTCATTTATTGTAAACTTTCCTGTTACATTGAACTTCTGAAAAAGAAGCACCTCACACATGCCCAGGTTAAACTCAATCTGCCTTTTCTCTGCCCAACTTTCCAAACGATCTATATCCTGCTGTATCCTATGATATCCTTCCTCAGTATCTGTAACTCCACCAATTTTCATGTTGTTTGCAAACTTACTAATCAGACCACTGACACTTTCATCCAAATCATTCATATATTTTACAAACAACAGAGATCCCAGCACTGATCCTTGTGGAACACTGGTTATAGATTCCAGTCAGAATAGCACTCCTCCACGACTATCCTGTGTTTTCTATGACCAAGCTAATTTTGTACCCAGCTTGCCAACTCACCATGGATCCCATGCAACTCAATCTTCTGGACTAGCCTACCATGAGCAACCTTGTCAAATGCTTTAATAAAGTCCATGTCGACAACATCCACTACCCTACCCTCATCAATAGTCTTTGTCACTTCCTCAAAACATTCAGTCAAATTTGAGACAGTACCTTTCTCTGCACAAAGCTGTGCTGACTATCCCTAGAAGTCCATTCTTCTCTAAATGTGAGTAAACAGTGTCCCTAAGAATCCTCAATTATTTCTCTACCACTGGCGTATGGCTCATTGGCCTATAATTTCCCAGATTATCCCCGTTCCCCTTAAAGGAACAACATTGGTTATTCTCCAGTCTTCTGTGACCTCACCTGTGGCTAAAGAGGATAGAAAGATCTCTTAAGGCCTGGTAATCTCCTACCTCCCTGGGATAGATCCCATCACGTGCTGGGGGACTTATCTACCTTAATGTTTTTCAAGATACCCAATATTTCCACCTCTTTAATATCAACATATTCCTCCTTAATCTTGCCATCACCCATGTCCTTCTGCTCAGTGAATACTGATACAAAGTACTCATTAAGGACCACACCCACTCTCTCTGGTTCCATGCATAAATTCCCTTTGTCTTTGAGTGCACCTACCTTTTCCCTAGCTAGACTCTTGCTCTTAATACATGTAGAGAATGCCTTGAGATTCTCCCAAACCCATTTGCCAAAGACATTTCATGGCTCCATCTAGTCCTCCAGATCTGTTTGTTCTTTTCTGCTTCCTTTATACTTAATGACTTGTTCAGATTTCAGTTTCCTAAACCTTACATTTGCTTTCTTTCACTTTTCAACTCAAATTTCAATACCTCTTGTCATCAGGGGTTCCTGAATCTTGCCATCCTGATCTTTCATCCTCATAGGGATATGCTGATCAGCTGGCCTTTAAAAGACTCCCACATCAGATGTGGATTTGCTTTGAAACATCTAATTTCTCCAGTTTCTGCCAAATACTGTTGTAATTAGTCTTCCCCTAATTTAGCACTTTCACCCAGGAAACTAGTCTTATCCTAATCCATAATCCTAAAACTTAGAATTATGATCACTGTTCCCAAAATGCTCCCCCACTGAAACTTTATTCATCTGGCTAGGCTCATTCTCCAACACAAGGTCTTAGATCCACTTACCCGAGTGGATACAAGTCCACGAAAAGATCACCCATGATCTTATTGAATGGCGGAGCAGGCTTGAAGGGCCGGACGGCCTACTCCTGCTCCTAGTTCTTATGTATGGCCCCTTTCTTAGTTGGACTAAGTGTTTCAAAAAACTCTCCTGCAGGCACATAATAAATTCTACCCTGGCACTAAGGCATTCCTAGTCAATATTGGACAAGTTAAAAATCAAACACAACAACCCTGCTGTTTTTGTCTTTCCAAGATCTGCTTACATATCTGTTTCTCTATCTCCCCTGGCCATTGAGAAACTTATGGTGAGAGTCAGTGGGACCCCAGACCTCTGTCAGCACGTGTGGGACCCATACCCCAGCAAGAGTCAGTGTGTGGGGGACCCTGTAGCCCATTGAGTACATGTGTACCAGTGACTGTACCTTGGATCATGCCAGAGAAAGTAGTCTCTCAGCTTGCAAATTCAACTGAAGCTCAAAATCCAATCTCAAAAACAAATGCCCACAATCCTTCACAACACAGTAACATCACCTGCAAACTGCTCACTCAGATTTCAAGCTTTTAGAAATGTTGCAATTTCATCTGCAACTCCCCATATAACAGCTCCAACTTTACTGAAATAGATTGACTAAGATAAAGTGCTGCTCAAACAGCTACGTGAAGAGGCTGTGCCATATCTGGTGTATACTAACAAGCTATTAACTGCTCTGCTGAGTACCCTGCCTCCTCATTGCAGTAACAGTAATCAGCCTGCACACAAGCAAAGACAGTAAACACTGGAATGTGACAAAGATGGAAGTTGCTGGAAAAGCTCAGGTCTAGCTGCATCTGTGAAGAAAAAAAAAAATCAGTTAACATCTTGGGTCTGGTGACCCATCCTTAGACCAGTTCTAAGGAAGGATCACCGGACCCGAAATGTTAACTGATTTTTATTCTTCAAAGATGCTGCCAGACCAGCTGAGCTTTTCCAGCAACTTCCATCTTTGTTCCTGATTTACAGCATCCAGTTTTGTTTTTAAACACCAGAATGGATTTGAACTGCTTGCCAATGAACAGGACATTCAATCTTGGAGAAACATTGCTGTCCAAAAGAGCATTATCTAGCCTCAAAACCCACTTCCTGCCTGGTATGCCTCAGCTAAGCGACCTCACATCAGCACTTGGTCGCTTATCCAGTCAAATTGGACTCAAAGATCACTTTCTCTCTCCACAGATGCTGCCAGACCAGAAGTGCTACAGATTGCCAACATCTGCAACATTTTGCTTTTATTCATTCACATCGCTTCCCCTTTCTCTATAGACTCCTAAACCCTGAAATGTAACACTTTCACTTCATGCCTTTATCTTTCTATGACTATTTCAACACTGCAGCTCTACCCCTTGGACTCCAGACTTTATAAACATTTCATCACAGCCCCCTAGATACTGTGCACAATAATAGGAAACTTCTCTGCTCCCAGCTCCAGTGGAAACCATTCACCCCATTACCAACAAATTTATCATTCTAAACTACTGAAATACAATTGTGCTTACACAGCAAGTTCCACAAATATTTTTAATGGGTGTTTTTTTCATAAATATTGTTCCCAGTGAAATCTCACCTACTTTCCTTCAAAGAGGCTCCTGTGACAGCACTTCACAAGATGCTATAGTAAGCAGCACTTGCACAGCCTTTTACTGAAGGCATCAGGGCTGTGAAGGAAATGTAGGAGTGGGGACCATTCTTCAAGACCTCAGCACAGGCATGATGGAACACATGTCCTCCTGCAATACATGGGAGGGAGCATTAATGTAACTGGATTAGTAATGGGGGGGGGCACTGTGTGCAAATCCCATTATCAGAAGTTGGCAATTGACTTCAACTAATAAACCAGGAATATAATGCAAGACTCTGACAGCAACCACAGAACAATCACCATGAAAGCCCATCTGCTTCATTAACATCCTTTAGGGAAGGAAATTGCTGTCCTTACCCAGCCTGGCATCTGTAACTTCAGACCCACTGCAATACAGGTGACTCTGCAATGGCTCAACAAGCCAAGCAGTTGAAGGGCAATTAGGGATGGGCACACCCCACAAAAGAATGAAAAGATTTCACACTTTGCCACGATTCTGGAGTGAGATTTGAACTCAACCTTGAAGGTAGCAGTGCGGTAAACAGAGTCACAACCATTACCCAACTCCAGGGCAAAGCCCATGAAGAAAGCTGTCCTATACCAAGGTGGCTCAGCAGCTGCAATAGATTCCATACTGGCAGCTGCTTTTCAGAGATGGAATTAGTAGACATTTGCACAAAGTCCCTTATCATTAAGTGCTGACAGCTAAACATGGTAAATAAGGCATCTCAACTAGTCAAATACACAAGCTGTTTCTCATATGGATCCCTGTCATCAGTAGGTCCTACCAGGTTTAGCAATTCTTCCCACAGCCAAACCTGGGTCCACATCACAGACCTAAGTAAACAAAACAAAATAAATCGCATTTGACATAAAATACTTTTATTGAAATCTCATGTTGTGGCAATACATATTGGAATGTATAGCAACCAGAGTCAAGACAGACTGTTCCCATTAATGTATATAAATAGAGCATCTTTCAAACAGTAAAAACACATTCCAACACTATCATTGTAACAGATTGACACTTATTTACAATTATTTAAAAAGTTTGCACCAGAATTGAAAACACAAACACTGCACAAAATGAGCAGTTGACAGTCTGTAGGTGGTGTCAAGGCCACATCTCAGTCCCATGCATCAACTTCCCATGAACAGCAGAAACATGAACCACACGTCAACACAGACTCAGACATGCAAATGTTTGCCCAACTCTGGGAGCCATTTGGTTTTTGGTCAACTGAAATCGAGGCAAATTAGTCTTATTTCAGGACAGCACCCAGACCCTAATGGAACCAGCCGAGTTTGTGAATTGTCATGATGGCTGAAACATGAGCAGAGAAACACCACAAATATCTGAATGCACTGTGGCGTGCCCCGCACCGGAGCCCCAGGTGGCGTGCCCCGCACCGGAGCCCCAGGTGGCGTGCCCCGCACCGGAGCCCCAGGTGGCGTGCCCCGCACCGGA